GCACTATATTTTGTGCGAGTATGAAGTCTGTTTGTAGGTATTAAAACAAAACATTAAAAAAATAATCACATCATGAAAAATTTATATACATACTTTAAATCGCTCCAATACTTCTTCTATTTTGCACCATCCTTTTGAGTGCCGCGAAATTTGGCACCATCTTCCGTCACAAATCTATAATTATAAATAATTGGTATTCGTTTGTTTATGTTAAAAAGGCTTCATACTTATCGTTTGCAATGTCTAGATAATATATTAAAAACTCTTTTTGGTTTTCGCTGGCGCGCTTTCCTCTTCGTATCTTCTCCACCTTGTTTTCACGTATAAATAGGCTGTGTATAATTTTTTTACATATGATAAGTTTTTGACAGTTGGTTGCACTGTTTCACAGAACGAGAATCGTCAGGGATGTGAAAAAGTGAAAAGTTTCGTTTCGTTCCACTTTTTTTTCATGTGAAAACACTTTGACGTTTCTTTTCATTTTTTCACTGAAAGCGAATCGGAAGTGCAATGAAAACGCGAAAAAAGTTTTCATTTCACCGTTTCACAGAACGAGAATTGACCCCCAGGTATATATGAAGCGAGAGAAGCATCAAACATAAAAACAGAAAGATTAAACTAAACGCCAATCAAAGGCACATTAGACTAGTCATGGGCAGCAAAACAACAACAACAATAAGTGTGTATACTATCTCTGTCCCTAACTAGAGCGTCAACCGTGATATATCAACAATTAAGAATGCAAGCATGCATATTCATACAACAAGTATGTATCATAGTTCAGCAATGCAAAAAAACCAACTATACAGCACAAAAAGAAAAGTAAACAGCTGTGCCGTTTTTTGCGCAATCTTTTTCTGTGCGCCTAATACCTAAACTTATGTTGTCGATGAGAAATGTAAACTAATTAACACCGAATATTGGTAAGGAGTTTATTATAAATAGGGTTCAAATTTTCCGTATCTCTTCGTCGGTTCAATGTATTTTTACTAATCTTTATGTGAATCATCTCAGAAATATTAAGTTTGTTCCAATGCTTCTCCCTATCCAAAATTTTGACCTGTTCCCAATCAAAATCATGATCTGTATTAACTTTATGTATTGTAGTCATAGAGGTTGGATTTAACTTGTTAATGTCTTTTCGATGTTCATCAATGCGGGTCACTAACTTTCGCTTAGTTTGGCCAACTTAGTTACTATCACATTCTTTGCAGTTTATCTTGTATACCACC